CTCGCGCCCAGCGTGCGCCTTGCTCGGAAAATTAACAGGAACAAGTGCGACACGCATAGCTTAACCATATACTGAATGGTTGACTCGTGCCCGATGTATATCAGGTGTTTTATTAATTAATAAAGGTATAATATTTATTAATGCGTATTATACTTTTTTAATGTCGTTTATTCCAACATTTGAAATGTCAAATCTTATAAAAATACAACTTTGTAGTTCAAATACATTATCTTGATTAATATCTATAATTGACTTAGAAATCTCAATATTCTTAATTGAATTATATATTAAAAATTAAAATTGGTTGTAAAATTCAGATTACTCCAAAAAATATTAAATTCTAGTCTTAATCCTCTGAAGCGACATGCCTTTGATTATATATATAATAAGGCTGCAGGGCTCGTTACTACATCCTGACTATTTAAAGCAGACACGGAACGCGGAGCAGTCTTCTAAGTCACAACGATAGGTATAGCGGCCCCGGGCAGTACACGCCACGACGCGCGCGCACTAACATCCTGCGACTCAGTCACAAATGTTTAATTATATTCCCTCTCGGTGTACGCTAAACCTATTGTTGTCCTCGAAATAGTTGACATTTATGATCTTGCTTATCGTAGATTTTGTGGCGCTTGCATTTATCTTGAGCGTCTACGGGAAACAGCGTTGTCAGACATCGTTGTAAACGTAGACGCAATAGTTTATTAATAATATCTAATATGCTCGTTAGTCATTTCTTTTTTCTTTATTTAACCACACATTTAAATTCATTAGATGTTTCTGCTATTTCTTATATGATATAGCTAAGTACAGTCTCGCGTGCACTGAAAGTAATAATTCCCATGGTCAATTATAATGCATTCACACATTCTTAAAGTCACGATCGTTCATTTAATGATTTTTACTGGTATTTGATGGGAGAGCGTTTTCTATATAAATTTATGAATATAGTATTCACATAATTTCTTTCGCTTTTGTGTCAAATAACATTTGTGCTAAATCTACACCATTCTTTATTAAACTGAGAAATGGGTATTAACCAAAATCGCAGTATTATATCTACAGAGTTATCATGATGCCCTAGAAACTAGAAATTTCTTTCAGATAAAGTTTAATTCATAAATTTAACTACATATTTGTCTTATTATTTTCTTCCTAAATTTCCAAAATGGATTTTTTATTATGATTGCGTTAACTGTGAATTGTGATAAAATTTGTACCATGGTATAATGTACATATATATGTTATGTGAAATACATTTAACTCTTTGGTGACAAAATGTATTCTTAATCAGTCACAACATGGAGAAGAATATTAAATATTGTATTATTATAATAAATATTTATAATTATTTTTTTATATACGTGATTTCTTTGATTACGAATTCGTTGTGTGATTGTATATTCAAGATACATATGTTGACACAGTAGTTTTTCGAATTACTGAAGAATGTTGCCGATTGTGTATCTAGTGGATAGACAAGCAGCTGTAAGTGCAGTAACCATGTTCCTTCAGACATTGTATGTTCGTTAATCGCGGACATTGGAGTGCATGCTTTTTGTATCGGAAAGGCAAACGACCGCTACGGATAGGTTCTTGAAATTGCTTTATTGGGTAACCTGTCTCCGAACACAGTAGGCGTATAATGCGGTTATGAATCAACGCGCGACTCGAATAATATATACGCTGTCTTTATTTACGAACACATGATCAGGACGATACAAACCCACTGCTTACACTTCATGCGCCAATTATATTTTTCACATAGAACAAATCGATTTAATATACGTCATAAATCCAGTCTGTAACTTATATACGTTTTGCAAACTTAATTAAAGTTACTAACTTTTTAATTAATGCCCTATGGGTTTGACTACAAAATATACACGTCTCAATTTGCCTTTAACGGGTAGTGAACCTAATTGGATTCAAATGATTTATCTGCAGCAATAACTCATAGTAATGAGAAACTAACAATCCTATTAACTTGCAGCCCAATAAGAAAACAATTCCTAGTTTTCTTCTGCTAGATTTGTTCATTGTTTACGTTGCTTCCTAGTAACCATATTGGTTATTCGTAGCGATGCTCGTTATACGCTACCAGGAGCGGTATGTGTAAACGAGCAGAACAAACCCGACGCTAATTCTTGTTTATGAGGACCCTTGCTCCGCATAGATACGATGTAAGGCCTTAAAGCGGCCTCCGACAATCAAAGCCACGTAGAAATAGCTACCATTCTTGAAATGATATGTACCAGTTGAATCACAGTCCCACCATACCTATTACGATAAATCGACATAAATATGAAACCGATAATTTGAATACCGCTCATCTTGACCGCTTTCCGTCGTCCGTCTTCTGTGAACTAATTTTATTTTGACTCGTCTATTTGTTTTTTGCCCGGTTATTAAACGCTGTACATTAATAAAACGATAGGTATCTTTAAGTGCTTTTAGTGACACAGATTTTTAATGGTAGCGAAATTTTTTAGCTTCCTATATGTAGATATATACCATCCTTTAGTATATGAAATTAGGGCAACTTAAAAGCGTTTGTAAATTCAATATCAAATGGTGAGTTAGTAATATTTTCACTAATAAATATTATGCAATCTGTGTTTTTACTTTAAAATGTTAAGTGCATTACACTATACCGTAAATTGTATAAGTAATAAAAATATTTATTTATTTGTTTATTTTAGGAAAATTAACGGTGTACTTTCCCATGTTACTAATCATATTAAATTGTCCTATGTCAATTAATAATCTAATCTAGCCAATACCTATATACATACTTGTCATATATGACTGAAAGAAAATGCCTTCATATCTTATTTTCGTCATATGTACATTTTCTTTAAAAACCTTCAAAAAAACATATATGAACAAGTATGTATATAGGTATTGAGGAGTCTTTTTTTCAACGACCGAAGTCGATTAGATTATTAATTGACATAGGACATATATTAATATGATTTATGTAACATGGTATCTATAGAAAATATATGTACATAACACACCACTTAATTTTTAATCTATTTGTATATTGTATAATGTCTTGTAATAGTATAATTTTTTAAATATTTATATAAACATTCACGTATATATGTATTTAATTATAGGAGCCAATAGAATATTAGCGCTGCAGACTTATCTGTAGCTTCATGTAGAGTTGGCTTCCTCTTCATCATTGCGATACATAAAGCCACCTCCATTTTTATTTTATTTTGTAATATTATATTTCTGTATTATTTAATCTGTAAACTTTATTTCTATTTATAAAATGTATCATGGCTATGTAATTGCATATGCTTGTTAAATTAATAAATGAATAATATCTTTGTTTAGGTAAAACGTCAAATTGTGAAAATAAAGTCCATAATAAACTGCGTGAGATAATATCCCGGCCGTTATTCGTAGTGGAGCGTTCAATTCTAACAAAGGAGTTCATGTTTATGATAAATCGTCAACTTTAGGATTATTCAGAGAAGTCGCATTTGATATACAATACTTTGCTCCTACGCAATGACATTTTCAATCACATTCAATATTATGCGAACAGACCAATCCAGTATAAACAATTAAATCTTATCCATCGTTGCCTCGTATTTTTTATGATAGATATCTACCACAAAATTTTCAAGTGAGATTTTATTGTAGTTTTTTTTTATTTATTTAAGCTTGCATACAATATTGTTCAATTTGAAACATAGTGCAAAAAACTTGTATTAATTAGCAAGTTCCAATTTGAAATTATGGCAGTTGAATGATTGGTTGTGATTTTAGCGGTGGTCCAGCAGAGGTGAATGCTCGCCATTTGGGACACCTACTTTTTACTTTTTGTTATTGTTCGAGTATCTTCGCAGACTTATTGTAATAAATGGAATTATAATTTAATTTGTATTAGTATAGTAATGAATTTTAGAGTTTAATAATTATAGTAGGTAACAAATAGCTTTTTGTTGCGGACTTACATGAACCTTCAACAAACAACTCTTACGACTCTCTTTTCTCCGCCAAAACTTTAATATTGTTAATATTGAACGCAAAATTATAATATTAATTAAACCTTCTGGATTTAATATGAATAGATATAAAAGACTGACAACTATACGATTATTCAAGGATTCTTAAGATAATAAAATTATTTCTTTAATTAGGAAATGCTCTTTGACGTATTTATAAATTTTGGTACAATTAATGCTCGCGGGTTCGATTCCTCTCATGGCACAAACATTTGTCTTCATGAGTATGATTGTTTGTATCGGTCTGGGTGTGTTCTATGTATAATATGTATGTATTTACGAAAAAAAAATATCTATGTACTTGTACCAGTTATCTAGTACCCATAACACAAGCTTTAGCTAGCTTAACTTGGGTCTAGATGGCGCTGTGTGAATTGTGCTGAGATTATTATTATTATTATAATAAATTTTATCCAATCATAAAATAACTATATGATCGTTACGTAATATCATTGATACCAACTAACAAGTATACCACCTGAGTTAAATACTTCATGAATAAAAGGTAATCAATGTATTTCAATTTTACAAGTTACGCGTCATTAACCTCACTTAATTTTAGAAAGGTCTTTCTAGGAAATATAACGGAATGGAAAACGAAAATTCTTAACGGCAGAATCTAATTATATATTTTTAATATATTATAATGAAATGGTTCACACGGTATACAAGGGGAGTATAGTATGGTAATCAGGAGGGGTCGAGAAACTACTGATCATAGAATAGTATATTATATGATATAGTATTAGAAAATCATTTATTCAAATACATAAATTTAATTGAAGCACTTTTGAATGTCATGGTTATTTTTTTTACTCTCTACCGCTCATTCGGAAGGCAGTCTCGTCACAAGAAGAACGAGCGAGAAACTTGCGTGTTACTCTTTTTAATAATCATTACCAGCAATCCCCTGCTTCCCCTCCCACTTCCCAATAAAATATTACTAATGGATATATTGATGATAATTTAATGCAGGTTAGCGGTGACGGCCGTGTCGTGGCACCCGCAGTCGGGACTCCTCGCGTCGGTGGACCGGGGCAAGCGGGCACTCATCTGGGGCGATTTGTGACAGGCCTGGGAAGCGCCGCGCCCCCCGCCGCCTCTACAACAGGTTAATAAAAATAATCATCTGTAACAGCCCCCGTAAATCGATGGAGACCACAACAATTTTAGAAAGTATTATTGATGTTACCGACACCTCTACCGTAATGCGCGGTAACTGTAAAAGAGTTATTTTTTATTTTGTTTTAAGTAAAATATATTCTGCTTTTGAAATTTTAATTGGTTTATTAAAGTGGGAAATAGATTTTGTTGCATGTTGTATAATAGTAGGATAGGACAAATGTAATATGTACATATGTATATCGAGTGTTACTTATTTGATTAAAATTTAGAATTTAGAACGGCCCTATATGTAAATTGTTTGTCAAAAAAAAGAGAATATCATAAAACTCTTATATTGATAATTATTTATTTACATAACCAACAACTGCTTGAGATATGTAATTGTTCGACATTTTTAGATTAAATCAAAATAGAAGTAAAAATTTGCGACCTAAATATTTTTATAAAACAAAATAGGACAACTATATTACAGATTTTTTATTACAGGATATCTTTTACAGATTTTAACTTATATATATATAACAATAGTTTTCTTCCCTTTGTCTGGAATAATTCATTTTGATAGTGGTGTAGACATAAACTTCGTTGAAATTGATCAGATTATTTTTTTAAACTATTCATAAATAAGAATTGATATAACAAACTTAAATTTAATTTTTTTAATACCCAACATATTTTTAATGAAATTTATACACTTTTACATACTATATTATATAATGTCTGCATTCGCGTAATATCTGTATATATATTCAATTTAACATTACTAGAATCCTTTATATAATATGTATAATACAGGTTTTTCATATAATTCCATAAGAATCATCAATCAAAATTAATATAACATAATATTTGAACTTTTGCAATGTTTTACTAATATTTACTTCAAATTTTGGCCGGTCGGTCGACAGTGGACTGCCGACACAGCTGGCCATTCTTTTATTCAACCTTCCGACACCGGCCCAACTCTCACGTGTGCACAAGCGACGTGGGGGTCAAAGGTTTATTGCAGTCTACACTCTTGACACCATGTTCTGGTTTTGTAGCGCTATGACGTGACTCCACGCCGTAGACTATTTCCACTTCACAATGACATGGACATTTATTTAACTGAGAATTTGAATTGTTACATAAGTGTGACATTAGAAATGTCATAAATATTTGGAGAAACTACCTCTCTATGCCAGTGTGTGTGTATTTCTATTTTTCTACCACTTTGCGGAATTTTGTACAATGTTCAGTTTTATATTGTTACCATCTCAACCATAGGTCATTGACACGGCATAAGGATACGTTGTAATTGTTAATCAGAATTAATTTATGTGTTATCTACGCTACTTTATTTTTATACCGTTATTAATATCTTAAAAAATCATAATGATCGGTTTTTGTAAGATAAAGTAGCCGCATACAAGTAATTTGAATTTTGTGAGCTTGTTTTGTATTGTAGGATAAAACATAACATTTGAACTTCACTATTTCTAAAAAAATATACAAATGGTTATGGGATTATTACATATTCATTGAAAATATTTAGTACAGAAGTAGTTGAAATCATCTCTTACCCATAAATTGGTTATTATTTTTCTCATTTGTTCGGTTTTACTAAATACGTAGTATGACTGCCAGTATTTAATTCATATGACTAGAATATTCATTTGTATAGTAAAGAGCGATTAATATCTGTATATTTTTAAATACAGTAAACAGTTTTAAATATTTATGAATATTTACTTAAAAATTGCTCTGTAGCAAAGTGTTAACATCAATCATGCAGGTACATTATCATTAAACTGTACCGACGAAAAATTTGTTTTTGATGGTAATAAAGTATTTGGAATTCAAAAACAAAATATAAAATGTTTTTTAATATTTTGACGGTAGAGCAGCAATATTTTAACGATATTTCATGCCTATAGTTCTAGTTCGCTTTCTGAACACTTTTTTAAATAATTTATATATATATATCCTTTAACAAACGATTTCATAACATTGATTTTAGAAGGCATAGAAAAATTAAGAAACTTGAAAAGTTTCAGAAAACTTTAGGACTATTTTAACGTTTGCCAAACTGGACTGAGTTATTTATAAATGGTAATATATCGTAAATGACTTCGATTATAAATGCTCTTAATAACAATAATTTATAAATAATAGGTATACAGCAATATCACTATTTTGGTCTACATCATCCTCCACTTATTTCATCTAAACCACGCAACGGATTTTAATATGGTTTTCACTATCATGACAGACGCTGTATGTTAATATGTATATGCATACGACTGTTACGAGGTACAGCCATTCATCGAGAAATATTCGTTAAAAGCCTATTACGCATTACTATTACTCGATCACATTACTTTCAAATTATTATACATACCATACTTTAATTTGGATGAACTGACCTATATAAATATATTTTTTCACGTATATGAGAAATAATATCATAATTATTTAATGTCGGACAAGAATGTTGCAAAAAAATTAGTTGATGGATCCACATGTACTAACCTGATTATATAGTCCGAGTTTCTCTTTGCTCCTATTTCGAGTAAGAAACTGTAAACAGATTATATCGAGCATAGCTGTCCATTATAAATGACCCGAAAATATATCATAATGGGAATAATTGCGAAACACATATCTCTTCGTGACATTAACCTATTATAACCATCTGTAATTTTACGAACAAATTACATAAATCATATTAGATTAAGAATATTCTCAAGCTTGTAATTTGGATAATTACAGTCTTTTCATACAAATAGATATAAATGGAAACGAAAAAAAAGAGTTATTATAGCATTTTCTTAAGATCGACACAAACCTCTTCTTTAGCTTTAATGTACTGTGTTTAATTCTTATATTTTTGGTGTATATAAAATCAGTAAAAAGCATGTATTAATTTGACCAATTAACTACACATAAATATATAATATATATATTACATACAAAAAATACTATATACTAAAATGTTTATCAGGTGACTATACTTCAACTATATTTAAAGTATCGTTTATAAAATATTAAAGGAGTAGGTACCTAACATCCTAATTAAAGGATTAGCGCGAAACTAAGTAAACATTAAGTTTTGATTATAAATTATTTCTACAGGTACAATTTTAGATAGCTTTATAAAAATGGACAAAGACAAATTAAATATATATATAAAATTGTATCTGAAATTATTGTTTAAGTAATATGGATGGATAAATATCTGAAATAAATGATAATAATAATAATAAAGTTAAAATATATAGTATCTGAAATTATTTGTAAGGATCAGTTAAATCATAAATATACAGTATCAGAACATCGAGTTTACACCCTAAGTAAACCCTAATCTTAAATTGTTAAAACGCTATAAATCATACCGGTAATGATATTCAGGAGTCCTTGACAATAAGTATTATTGAAGCCTCTTAGGTTTATAATGCTTGATTGATCGCTGATGTACGCTTTAGATTCCACGTTCACAACAATAATGCTATTTAAATAAAATATTCTACTGAATTCCTATTCAATAATGTTCTTAGTTTTGGCACTAATTTATCCAATACTAACTACCCGCCCCAGCTTCGCGCGGGTGTACGTGTATTAAACATATACCTTTCTCTAGAATAACTCTATTTATTGCTAAAAAGTGCATTAAAATCTAGAGGTTATATTTTGTATGCAAAGACGTATATACTAGCACGCTCGACATCTTCCCTCACTACACTGATCAAAATAAGAAACATGCATGGACGGATTATATATAAGTCATTCATATTATTCGTCTACCATACCATCTATGCTGCAAGTCTTTCCGCAATATTAGAGAAATATTACCAAGTACCAATATTTAAATTTCCATTACCTACTCTCTTACCACCTCTCTCTAAAGATATTGTATTTAGAAACTTCTTTTTACGTATAATAACGTCCAGATGGAGTAATCAGAGTTATTTCGTCTGACATTGTGTCGAATGTGATACTAAACTGAGCGAACATATTGTCACAAATGTAAGGAAAACATTTCTATATCATGAACACAGGAACAAAGCAAAAGTAAACCTTTAAAGTGAACATATAATATACATATATAGAATATATATTATTCTATGTACATTATATACCGCCGCAAAAAACCGTATATATTTCATAAAGTAGATGTAGGAACTCTATTTGCGTATTCTAATTCTATTTTTGAATTGGTTCTATTTTGTAATTAATATATTAACTTTAATCTCATTAAAGCGTCAATCACATTTGTATCGCTACTTATTTTCTTACAAATTGTCTGTAAGTCATCAGCCGACCATACGGCATTGTCAACACTAACAAAGATTTCGTGCGCTTACCATCAAAGTAGAGTGTCTACACATTTGCTACCCCTATTGTTAAAAAAAAATACAAACCTTGAATGTAGAAATTTAAGTATTGTACATTGAGACACAATACAATACTGGCAACAAGTGAAAGCGTGACTTTCAACTTTCATTAAGTTTTTGTGTAAGTATATGTATGGACCTCGCGGACGGTCCATATTGTCTCGCGACATGAATCTGCCGAACTATTCTAGATAAAGGTGCCAGCGCACTCGTTCGTTCGACTTATCGAGAAGACGACGTGACTAATTTAAACTTTCAGTTGCCTCTTCATTACTTTTCCGTGTTATTAATAATTCATTAATAATGCACTCACCGCTCAGTTATGCACGTTGGTCTCTGGTAATTGACGAGGTTAAGGTTATTGTAGTTACATCTCATTTGATTCTGTGGCTGTCTATAATTTTATTGTTCTTATTGCGGGACAAATAAGAAAAGAGTGATATAAATCTGCTAATAATCCAAGTCCGCCATTCCTTTCTAAGCCTAATAATCCATGGTAATTAGCTCAGAAGTTTTTTCAGATTGCTAGAGTTACTTTTTTTAACAATATGATATGCATTAATAATTATTATGCATAATAATTTATTATCAAATTCAGAATAATTCTGAACTC